AAAAATTATTTTAATTGAAATTATTTTTCTCAGATAATGCGCACCCATCGTATAGTGCGCCCCAAACTTTATCCCAAAAAATCACTTTTTTAACAGATAGTGCGGCGCACTATCTCATGTCAAACAGGGTAATATTTTTTAGTAATCAAACAGATTTTATATAGAATGTCTTATGGGAAATTTGAAATATGCCTGTTGGTATCTAATAGGATCCTTGTGAATTTATAAATTTATTTTGAAATACGTGCAAATTTTAATCTTAATTTTATTATTTTATATTATTTTTATAAAGAAATTATCATATAACTTTAAACATAATAGGATATTCAACGTTGTTTTTTAATGTTTTAAAATATATAATCGTGGGAATAAGCATATTATTAATATCAATTTCATTCAGATTATTTTATATTAATATGACAAAAACTCATATTAAAAAATCTAGTACCCTACAAATTAATATTATTATTTATTTATTAAAAAATAAAATTACATTTATTTAAATTGTTTTACATAGATAAATTATTATATTCCATTCAAATTAATATTTATATTTAAATTTAATTTTGGCTGACATATTTTAAATAACCAATTTGCATTCTTTCAAGTCGTGTTTATAATTTTTGCACCTTTTGTTTTCTAGTGATGTCATTTCAGACAAATACCATTGATCCAGCTCCTTTCCCCCATTATCACTGCATTCGTCCTAGATTAATTAATTTTAAACTGTTAATTATATGAACCGGGTAATAATTTAAATAATGCCTATCATTTTTATTTAATTAAGATGCTAATTAATCTATAATAAATGTGTTTATATTAAAATATTATATAAATACTACCTTGGATATCTCCATAGAGCATTTGATTGTCTCAAACTCCGAACAACATTCATCGTAATCATGGTCACCCGGCCAGTGTTTTTCAGCCTCATCACTGCATTTGTTAAATGTGCTGTATCCAATTTTATTCACACATTGCTGGGCGTCAGAAGTCATGGGGTTTGAATCGGTATTCATAAATAATGATAATGCAACTAGTACAGTTAGTGTAGAAGGATTCATTGTTAATATTAACTTAATAAGTTTATAATAATATAGTGGTAATTAGGTTGAGCGTATTACTGTGTTAATAAATTATGTATAAATTTTAGGTATTTTACGATATTTTTATGTGTTTTATCATGTCTAGAATTTCATAATAATTATAATAATTCATAATAATTTTTGTTTATTAATAAAACATATTTTAATGACTAAATTCATATTAACTAATATCTGCTGATTAAGGTATTTTTTAAAAATGAATTACTTTTAAATATATAAATATATTTTTATAATATAATGAACTGCAATGTGTTGAAATGTGACATTTATAAATAATTATTCTACTATTAATAAATAGTACATAAAACTAATTGTAAATTTATTATAAATTAAACTTATGAATCAAAACAACATAAATATTACATTGAATAATTAATTTATTTCTCAATTTCCAAAGTTTAAATTTTCAAATAAAAATATATGTAAAATTTCAGCATTAACCAACTCATATTAACAGGATTTTAAATTAAAATTAAAAATATTTACAATTATATTGCTGCAACAAAAATGATACCAAAATGTTGGGAATATATTAATATTTTATGTATGATATCATAATATGAAATACATGTTTAAAAACTATTTTGTTAAAATGTTTTTATTTTTTAAAAATGTTCAGCATAATACAGTAAATACATTAAAATGTTATAATTGTTTAGAAATAACATTATATTTAAGTATACAAAAAATCATCTCGACTAATAATAAGTTTTATTAACATAATACTCTTGTGACTACATTTACAACTACTAACACCAAGTGTTCAAGTTAAAAAAAGCACAAAAATATTAGTCCACTAATTACTATGCGATCCAAACACCTACTATACATCCCGATGCGATACGTGGTGGCCGGGTTGGTACTACTTGCGACCCTCAACCTATACATGTGTCGCATAAACCTAAGTATAGCCATCGTAGCCATGAGTCGGATCAACAAAACCAGTCGTTCATCGGGTAGTGATGTCTGCGATACCAACGCCTACACCACTGACCCAAACAACTCAACCAACGGCACCACTGCCTACCATTCCCCACACGCAGAGCCCACCGGGGAGTTTGATTGGGATGAAAAGACCCAGGGTATGATTTTGGGCGCATTTTTCTACGGCTATATACTGCTTCAAGTGGTCGGCGGTAGGCTGTCCGAGATGTTTGGCGCTAAATGGCTGTGCGGCGGGGGTATAGCCGTATCGATAGTGGTGAACGCACTGACCCCCATCATAGCCAGGTCGGGCCAGTATTGGCTATTACTGGCCAGTCGTGTAGTGTTGGGCGTGTTTCAGAGTTTTGTGTTTCCGTCCATTTATGCCCTGTTCTCGAAGTGGGCGCCCGATAGTGAGCGCAGGTATGTTACCACTGATATATCAACCAGATTGATATGATCAGGGTTATTTTTGGTGT